GTGGAGTCCAATTCGGTCTGTAATCATACGAGTGATTAACAAAATCGGACGACTGCGAAGCGGGAGTCCGATTTGTTAATCACGAGTATGATTACTGACCGAATTGGACGACACGATGTCCTGTTACCAATTAATTAAAACTATGACAAAATTCGAGAGATGAACAAACCATCGATTGAGCACTGAACTATTAAACGTCGTTGTGAATGCTGAAAAACACAGCAGTTTACCCAACAAAGTGCACCGCAACAGCGCGCGCAAAATGACACGTACTGTCCAATTACAAGCATGACGCGTACACTGTCCAATTAATGCTCAAATCGGGCTGCTGATAGCCAATCACGTTCGAGAATTTTGTTATAGTTTTGATTAATTCTGACATTGTACTCAAAACTGTTGCCAGACAAGGACAAGGACAAGGACACTGTTTGTAGTTGTGTACATTATTCAAACACATCTGCATCTCATGCTTACAAGAACTACCATGCACACATATAAAATAGAAGAAAAACTACCTTGGTTGGATAAAAAAATCAGTTTCAAAATAAAAGCTGAGTATTTAGCTGTTGTCAACTTGAAGATGATAGTCAACTGTCAGCATGTAATAGGCTTTATTATAGGGCTTGTATTTGTAGCTAGGGCATTATTCTCCTGTAATGCCCACAGGCCAATTATGGGCCTGCAAAGCAAGGCAAAAAGCCATATAATAAGCAACTTACTAACCTCAAACATTCAGTCTTTATGGAAAAATTTCAGACCTCGGCCTTGCTGTATTGGTTTGAGATTTTCCCATAAAGACCACTCTCGGTTAATAAGTACCGGTAGTTAATATTTGTGATCATGTTGTTGAACTGAAACTAGCTTAAAAGTTAATGCAAATGAAGTGAAGCTGTCGTAGATGATGTTCCCATTGGAAGCTACTTTCAAGTCCAATCCTGAGGATACAAATAATGGTTTTATTATTAAATTTTTTGTGGAATTTTAACATTATGATTGGACTTAAACTTCGATTTTGTTTTTGTTGTATTGCTTAGCCTCATGTTATTGAGGTGGAACTGATTGTCAATTCTGAGGATAAAGGGGAAATACATGTCAATAAACAGATGGCCCTGACACAATATGTACAAGAGACAAGGAAATCACTCCTTGGAGCCCAAGGACAGCTTCAGAATCACTCCATTCAAGAAATCGATCAGACACTTGGCTCTCGGCAACAAGCAACTGTGATTCAACCACAACAGCCTGCAAAACAATTGCCACCACGACCGTCTGTGAACACTCAGAATGCACAACTGTCCCAGGCAACTGTACAGCATGTGCAGCCAGTCAAACAGTCACTGGATCAAGAACTCCTGCCAAGCAAACAAGCATGGCCTTCCCAGCAACTGACAACTTCTTTGAAAAATCCTGTTCTGGAGACACTACAGAATGTGCGAGTTAACCAGCAGTCCTTGCCAAATCAAAACATGGAACCAGTAGAAAAATCATTGCTGGACACACTGCAGAAACAGCAACTACCAAGCTATGTGTACCAGTTATTTGAGAAAAAAGAAGTTATTGAAGTTCTTATCTCACATGTAAGCCACAGATTCAATTGCTTAGTCTTTCACTCACTTTCTACTCACTCTCCGTTATTTTTGTTATTATTGACCAGGGATCCATGTTGGTTTTTTCTTCAAGTTGTCAGCAGGGCAAGTACGCCAGATGACATACTTGCCTGTTCTCATACCATGCAATGCACCTTACGATGGACACAATATGGCGGAACAATGTTTTAGTTTCATAAATAATCGGAGTGCTAATCAAAGGAATTACTCTTCTTGTTGAGAATTAGAAAAGAACTAAAAACTTTTATCAAATAAATTTTGATCAGCAAGGCTGAAGATGTCCGTGGCAAACCGTTTTTTGGTTCCTTTATTTCTGAATCATGACATGGTACCAGAAAGGATCGTTATCATGAAATCCTTTGGAATGCAACAGAACATCATGTAAATGGAAAGTTTACTTTTTTATTATTTTCCAGATTTTCACGTTACCAGTTTCCCAGTACATCATGTCCGCAGTTGCAGCTCTCGGTAGACACAGACAAACCAGATACAAGTGAAAACCAATTCTCTTTGATTGCCATGAAGGCTGAAAGGAATGCCTTCGCTCCTCCTGCTCGTATTTGGCTTGTTTTTCTGAAGCGTAAATATTACTTAACGCCTGATCAAAACGATCAAAACAGCTGTGCGTGACCTGTTTTTGGCAGATGCAGTACAGAGCATCAGCGGTTGACAAAATGAAAATTGAGCCTACAGTGATTTCATTCTTTACATCATTCAAGATGGCGGAGCAAAATGACAATTTTATTGTGAAAGAAAGCTGCAAATCTTTCTCTGTTCTCTACAAGTTCCAAATGGATGACACTGAGTGGTCAGATTTTGCAGGAAATTGACATAAGAATATTTAGGAAATGTATTTTATTTCTGTTAGAGTCAAACTCAAGTCTTCCAGCCGATGAGCTTCGATATTGTTTTGGTCGATTTTTTACTGACGACTGGATGACTGCGAATATGGATCCCTGCTGACAGTTACATATTATGTGGACTTTCAATAATGTTGAAAAATACCTTAAGGCCTTGCATAGTAAATGCCGGACCCTTAGTAAACATTGGGTCCACAATGTCAAAGCTAAGTTTCAAATCTATTGAACACTCTTAGTTTTTAACTAAGGTTTAATTTCAACACAGGTTTAATTTCAACACAGCAGTAAATGATCAATAATTACCAGGAATCAGTGTGAAACTCAGTATCTCATGTACTGGGAATAACGGTTTTTGCAGTAGCCCTTGCTGTGAGAAAATTGACCCAATCACTTTGTACTTTTTACCTAAAATGGCAGAGGTTATATATTGCTGTAATGATGTTATTTTAATAATAAAGTGTATTATTGATAATACACTTTATCATTGCATCTACTACGATGAATAACAACAACCTTTTCCTCGATGTTATTTTAGTGTAACATTGTCGACTGCATGACTTGTATGACAGGCCTAGAATGAATGTAATATATATCTTAACAGGTTGTCTCCCCCGATGAAATCTATTTCTTTCTGGCTGACAAAAATACTCAAGAGAGTCTTCAAAGAATGACATGGATGTTGAGCAGTGAGGCCAATCCTAAAGCATTGGTAAGGTGGTGAAAATCTCTAAACATTAGCTGACCTTATATACCTGTTGAGGTTTTGACTTCCATGCAGACTGATATTACAACGTTTGTGAACTGTCGATACCTATCAAAATAGATTTTATGAGCAAATTTGTAAGCTCTGGAAACCTTTTCAATTTACTATCAAGAAATTTATACATTTATTGTTGGCGTACTGGATTGTATCTAAATCCAGATTTTAGCCTGGTCAGTGTTCTTGTTTTGCACTCTTGAAGGTACTTCAACTATTACTTTACCCCTTTCCTTTTTGGGTCTCACACTTTACCTAGGAACAAGTCATGCCATTGGCCCTTGGTTGGCAGTTTGCCATTGGTTGTGTAAAGGGTGGACAATGGTATCTGTTGGATAAATTACTAACAGTATCTAGTGGATAAAATAATGTAGACCAAACAAACTATTGTATGCCATCCCCTGAATAGTGATTTACCTCAGTGGTGGATAGTGTTGTCTTTTCTTTAAACAAACTAGGGCCAGATCAGGACACTAAATAGTGCCCCTTTTCCATACGTAAAAAAGTAAGAAATATAGGGTAAATAAAGAGGTAGAGGCGTTTGAAGCAACCTTACAAATGCTTGGTTTAATCAGCGTTTTTTTTTTTTTTTTTTCAATTAACTTGTGATGGCAAAACATTGGTCCCATTCAGGCCAGGCATAGTACTTAATGATCCTCCATGTCAATAATATTATCGCCAAAAAAACAAACAAACAAACAAACAACAACAACAACAACAACAACAAAAACAGATTGAGTTAAGTGCCAGCAGAGACAAGATGCCAGTATTTACCATATTCAACTTGTACCTTTTTTACCCCCTGTGAATTAATCAGTGCTAGATGTGTAGTGAAACTCCACAGGCAAATGTATTACAGTATTAAAATTGTTTTTGGTGTTTTAATAGAATGCAAGCTCATTTTAAACCAGAGATCAGGTTAGGCAACATGGTCTTTGGGAGGTGTTGATTTTGCTTATAATAGTTATTTACTCTTATGCATTCCGTATTATCTGATGATGATGAATATTTTTGAGGTATTGAATTTTCCACCATCAGATCTACCCAAGAGTTGGAGATATCGTGACCAGAATTCGGGAATGTTCTACTGGTGATAAAATGTATCGGGTTAGGATCAAATCCATCCCTAAGGGTACTACCACTGGAGTAGTAGACAAGGTAATGTTCAGTATTTAAGACGAATTCTGCTCAAAGCTAGAGCATTAAGTGCAAAAATTATTTACAAAAAAATCTACTCAATACATGTGGCACAGTAACTTTTTAAATACTATTTGAAGCATCTCACTTTTATTTATTTCTCTAAGTGACCCCATGATTAAATTGTCAAGCATTCTTGAGAAAGTTAATGTCAAACCTCGTAAGAATGCTTTAACCGTGTGTTATTGTCTTTTCAACTGACATGAAATGTCCAGTTTAATTAAAATATGGATAACTTAAAATTCAATTTTCTCTCGTGGGTCAGCGTTAGAGCCAATGTCCCAATAAGTTCCTAACTGTATTCAAAATACTGGTACTACAGTTCTAACTATGCAATGAGGTTTTTGTGGTAACTTTATTTTTCCAGTATTGCTCAAATGTTCAGCTGAAATAATCTTCATACAATCATCGTAAGTGTGGCCTCAGCTAGTCCTAAAAACAAACCTTGTCAGAAGTTGGCCAAATGAAAACCGAGGTCATGGGTTTGAATCTCACTGAGATCAAAATAATTTCTTTATTTTGTGTAATCCCAAAGTTCTTTTCTTAGGGCTAATACTCAGAAGTAAATTCATGGATCATTTCCAACACTTTAAATTACTGTAAAGTTAGTCCAGTCTCTAATGTCCTAGTGTAGTTAGTAATAGGCTGTATGGCTCAATATTGCATTGCCATTCACACTAGTAAAAAAAATTAATATGTTGTTTTCTTCAGGTAGTGGTTCAAAATATTGACTATGGCTGGACTGAGACAGTGTGGCTGAAGTGTTTGTGTGAGCTTCCTCCAGGTTTTAGTGACCTACCACCGCAAGTAATGCAGTCTAAGCTTGCAGGAATACAAAAAAGGCCAGGGTTGCAAATGTATCCAGACACTGTCAAGAATATGTTAATTGCTGTGAAGAGAAAGAGAAAGGTATTTCGTTATTCAGCTATAATCTCAGTTTAGTGCTTACATGTGAGGCAAAAATATAAATGAGAGCCTAATTCTGGTTTAGCCAGTTTAAAAGTTTAAAAACTAGGCAAACACAAAATGTGATATACATGTATTCATACATGGAACAAGGGTTACAGCAGTGAAGTAGATTGACTGAATTTTTGAGTTTAAAACACTCACTGATGTATTTATTTATTTATTATTTTAAAATGAGTTATTTTTTTGGCTTCAGCCTTTTGACATGGGGTTTGAAGTGCTTTTAGTACAGCAGTAGCAATTACATGATTGTATTTATTTTAAATTATTTTGAACTCAGCTGATGATTTCTCCAGGATTTTGGGGAGGCCAGGAGATATTCTAGGGTGAACACAGGTGCATGCCAGTGATAGTTAAAGAGAGGGGCATAAAAGGGATCCTGCAAACTGAAACTGAAGAAAATCAACCGCAACTGTTGCAAAAAGGACTAAAAAAGTAAAAGTTAAAACACTTTTTTCAAGAAATTCAAACAGTTTTGATATACATGTTTCGGATGACCCAGATTACCTGATTCTTCTGGTATCATATCTGGCAATGGATGGGATCATCCAAAAACTTGTATCATAAATTGTTTCCATTTTTACTTAAAGATTATATCTTGTGTGCTATTACTTTGAAAACTCTTTTTGAAATGTGTTGAATATGTATTTTTCAGATGTTACAAGCATCAGTGGTAAAGCATCAAGAGGATGGCATACTCCTGGTTGAACTTTTTGAATCTGAAGGGCCAAGTCTGAATGTTCAGCTATTAAATATGGATTGTATTCAGCTGGATGAATCTCTGCAGCCTCTTTTATGTTCAAACTTTGTGTCAGCAGGATTGAAAGGTTGTGGTTTGTTACAAAACCAGAGATCCAACAATCTCCCTATCTCAGGTAATCAAAGTTTTCATGTAATATATCAAAACAAAAGACAGTTTTTTTATCGGGAGTATTTTTGATGAAATTTGAGGTGTTTGGATAGCCGATGAAACACTGTCTCGAGTGTTTGATTTATCTTCTCAATTATTGAAACAAAAACTAACGAGTAAATGGAGAAGTAAAATCATCAAATTTTATGCTAATCTTTGTTTTAACTTGAAGAATTATTAATGAGTTTGAGAAGTACACATACTGTATCTTTTCCTGGTTTGCTTTTATTTTTTTTTAACTTTATATAAGTATTGACTCTCTACATATCAAACAAGATCAGTTCTTAACTTGATTTTGACATAATTGCTAACTTTGTTGCTAGCAACCAATGGTGCTTATAGTGTTATTTAAGGAGTGACTCTTCTGTTTCTACGTGGTAGCACAATGTTAATGATCATAACCATTTCATTGTGCTTCCAATAAAGGGGAACCAGAGTTGCATGCAAGGGGCCTCTCAGCCTTTTGAAAAAGCACATCTGTATCAGATTATAAAATAGTTGTAGAAGGAAAAAGAAAACCTTGTTGCATTAAAAAGACAGCTGCAAGAATCTCAACTATTTTGTAAATTAAAGATCTTATGGTGATAGTTCTTCACAGTATGGTATAATAATTATACCATGTGGCATATGTATAACTTTTTACCTTGACTTTGACGTAGTCATCATAATAAATATTATAATTACTATATTATCGTATTATTTTTGTAGCTAATCAAAATCCAAGATTGCACCCACAAACGAAAAGACTGGATCATTCTGTTGAAGTGCAGTCAGATCACTCGGATTGGGAAGACAGCTTGCTGGAGATAGAGGAAGGCTGGATGGAAGCTACACCTTTCACAGGGGCTCATAAAAATGCACTTGAAAGACAATCTCAGGATTATCTCTATATGCCCCCACCACCTACGATTCCCTATTCTTCAGCAGTATTACCAAGTAGTGGTCTTCCTTCTCCAGTGGCATCAGCAAGTAGTGTCTCCTCTGATGTATGCCCTTCTTCCTCAACAAGATTATTGAGTAGCATGCCCCTTGGCCAACAGCCCCCTTCTTCAACTCTAGCTTCACCAACGTCAACATCAGCAAGTAATGCCACCTCAAATGTACAACCCCTTTCCTCAAAAGGGTCAGGGAGTAGTGTGCCCCTTGACGTACACTCCCCTTCTTCATTGGGATCAGATAGCAGTGATGTGCATGGTTCGCACACAAGCTTAAAAAACTTGTCTAATGTTGTGGAGGAGTCAAGTGTCTCTGACACTGTTAATGGAACTGCTTTAAGTAGAGAACAGAAAATCTTACAGGACAAACAGTTAGCCCAAAGTTGTTTAGAAAAGGAACTAGTAGACCAGAAAGATGCTGAAGACTGGTGGCAAGAAAAAAGGGAACTGATTGAGAAGGATGAAGAGCTGAAAAGGATCTTAGACATGCCACGTGCTGAGATGATGAAGATGATAAGTTTAAGGCAGGAAAAGGAAAAGTTGGAGAGGAAAATCAGGTAGTTCATAGTATTAAAATGCCAAGTCAAAACAATTTCAAAGCGAGCCAAGTGGCCCATCCTGCTGGTGTATAACTCCATTTTCTTGTGGGAGGTGCAATTTTTGTCACTGCCAGCCTCTTGCAGCACCAGGGGTAATAACAGTACATATCACATGGTGCTGACCTCTTTCGGTCAGCACTGTGTGTTACTGGTAGGTGGTTGTTTCTTCTTTACAAGGTACAAGCTGAACTGTGTACCATTTGGAACTTCCTTATGTTCTTTCTTAAAGTAAGGAATGAGTCAGTCTTGAGGCTGTATTAGGGCTTTTTGGGATACGGGATGTCCTGACGTTGCTAATCGAACCAAAAACAAATATTTGATTAATAGTCCAGTTTCGAGTTTGCCATGACTGCTGATTAGAAGAACTGAGAATGCATTTGCACAGGGTTAGCCTCGATCTAAAGTAAAATATTCACAAATTCCAGTGAGAAGATGACCTGTTTACAGCCCTGTGTATTATTTAATTTTCAAATTTGTGGCGCCTTCCCGCCGGTATTTGTGAATATTTTTTTAAGGTCGAGGCTAACCCTGTGCAAATGCGTTCTCAGTGCTTTTATTCAGCAGTCATGGTGAACTCGAAACTGGACTATCGAACTCAATCAAAGTTACTTAATTGAACACCAATCACATGATTGCATTTGACTGAGTTTGGGTATTGGAACACAATCAAATTCTCACAAAAAAGTTGAGCAATTACATGCTGTAAATGCAATTGAATGCAATCGTACATTTGATAACCAAACAGTTTGATTGGTTACAAGGAGGAGATATTGGGGCCAAAAATTAATGAGATTTGGGATACTCAGACCCCCCTCCTAATGGGGACTCACTCTTACAAAACAATTCCAATTTTGACACCAATTCAAGAACTGTTTTGCAGTTGAAAATCTAGGTGTGACTATTTTTTACCATTGTGTTGTTTTAGATGGTTTCCACACCCCTTCCACAGAGGGTTTTTTTGTGTGAGACCTCCAAACCCTGCTGGAAGTTCTAGTTTTGATTGATACTTTCCTTTAAGGATTTTAGCTTTTGAGACTGCACTGCCAGCCCCTTGGAATTTTCAATAATCCTCCATGGGGTGGGAATGGATATTTCCTGGAACCACACATTTGAAGCTATCATAGCTGTAACTAGGCCAGAAAGGTTGAGGTAACAATACTATTATACATTTATATTTAGCTATTTTATCAATTTTTTTTTGCAGGATAAAAGGACTTGAAAACCAGATATTGAAACGGCAAAAGGAACTTAGACAATTAGAACTTGAAAAAGGAGAACTTGAAGGGGAAAGCAGCTAAAAGTGATATTAATAATATTTTTTTGTGGAAAAAAAAATTAAGATTCCAGCATTTAAGAGATTCCATCTTGCCTCTTTGTGCTTGTCTACAGTAAGGCAGTACTGTAGCCCAACAAACACTCTTTTACCTTTAGATGATTGTTACTACTGACTAACCTATCAAACACTGCACTACTTTCATTATCACCAATGGCAACTTAATTGTAACATCTCACTTGCAGACGCTTCTCTCACATGGTTAGGTTTATGGCATGTGACTCGAGACCACTGTATTCTCCGTTTTAAACATGTCATCAAAGGGTAGTTTTGTAAGGCTGTATGTTATGATTCTCAAAATGAGATTGTCCTCAGGAAAATGTCAGGGAATGATTTTTTTCCTTAAGATCATGGGATTTGAAATCTTTGTCAAAGAAATGTTGGGGGATTTTATTGTAAGTTTGCTGAAGGTTTTGGTAACAAGTGTTGATGTTGATGATGTTCAATTTTAATTTTTACAATAATTGGCAGAGAAGAAGTGTCAGAAACTTGTTTATCGAGAGCCACGTTCAAAGAAAGTATAGACTGAAATGACATAACCTTTACCACAATACATAGTGTAATTAATGTGATATTCTGGAAAACTTGTGAAATGTTGCAATTTTTCCACTCAATTAAACCAGAGTTGTGAAATGTTGATAGTAATTATTATGACATTTAGGATGGTCTATTACAGTGTAGACCATGCACAAAGGTGATTGCTTTGTTAATGGTCTATAAGAGTTATTTTTGCTGAGAAAATAAAAGTAAAATAGAAAATAATAATACTGGTAATTTAAGTGTGATTACATATATCTTATTAGATATTTTAGTGTGCAGTATCGCTGTATATTTTTACGAGTTGTGCTGTATTTTGATGAGCCCGTAGGGTGAGTCAAAATACAAACAACAAGTGAAAATATAGTGATACTACACACCAAAACATCAAATAAGAGATTTATTATCTAACTGGTGTAGTCAATAAATTTATCAATGAAAGAGGGAGAGTGTGACAGTTTTGTGTGCGTGCACCGACCTGTATGGCAAACAGGTTTTCTACTGTACAAATAACTGTACAATATATCACTGTACATTTGTACTGTTATTTGGACGGTATTCGCTGCAGTTGGATAATAAGGACATATATTGACCTGTAAATTCTTCCAGTTGTTTTTTCAAGACAGAGAAGTTGTTAAAAGTAGTACTGTAGTATAAGTTTTGAAGGTCCTGCTTTGAGAACTTTTTATTATTTTTAAGGTGTGAGAGATACAACTTCTACTACGGCTACAGTTTAAAGATGTTTGTTGGGTAAAATATTTTGTGAGTGTGTGGTGGTGGAATAATAATGTCAGGTTTCTTGTTGTGTAATGATTTGACTAACCCATGATCATGTGATTGGAACACAGTTATATTCTTTGCACCACTGGTCAATGTTTCTATTAACTAGTGAAGAAGTATGATTTCTAATGTTAAATTGAAAGTAGATCTTAAAATAGCAGGTGTTCTGATCTATTCTGCAGAGATGTCTTGAATTTCCTTTTTTATACCCAATTTGTCTTGGTTGAGTGCTGCTGTCAGGGCTGTCATTAAGTTTTGTCACCTGTTTTCTTGATGTCCCCTCCTCCCCCTAACAAACTTTTTACTTCGTGGATTAATGGTATCAATGACAGGCAAGCAATACTTACTTATTCCTCTTCGTTCCTAGTGGAACATAGGTCCTCAACTAGAGCCCGCCACCTAAGCCTATTTTGTGCAGTGCCCCTTGCCTCATTCCATGCGAGATGTTTCCTCTCCAACTCTGCCATTCTCGTACGTCGCCAGGTGTGCTGGGGTCTCTCTCTCTTTCGCTTCCCCTGTGGGTTCCACTCCAGTGCCCTCTTGACTACATGTCCATCTGGTCTCCTCAACACATGGTCGATCCAGCCCAAAGCTCTTTGTCTCATCTCTTGCTCTATCGGTCGCCCTGTTTGTCTCCAAAACTCCCCTTTGCTGATTTTTCTAGGCCACCAAATCTGCAATATGTTCCTCAGGCTCTTATTGATGAACACTTGCAACTTCTGCTCCAACCCTTAGTCAGCCTCCAAGTTTCAGAACCATACAAGAGCACTGCCTTCACATTTGACCCAAAGACTCTCGCTTGGTCCTGGATGTTAGTGCTGTGGATCGCCATATTGGTCTCAGCATTGCAAATGCCTGTCTTGCCTTTCCAATTTGTGCCTGAATGTCCTCATCAGTGTCTCCCTTCTTGCTTACAATGCTTCCAAGGTATGTGAACTGATCTACTTCCTCAATCCGCCCTCCTGCAACCGACACACCATCACCACGTCTGTTACCAATATGCATCAACTTTGTCTTGGTGGCATTGATCTTCAGGCCTACCTTCGCACCTTGTACCTCCAAGGCCCGTGTCTTAACCCTGATATCCTGTATTCTGTGCGACAGTAGGGCCAGATCATTGGCAAAGTCAAGGTCTTCTAAGGATGTCGTAAAGGTCCACTGAATACCTCTCTTTCTGTTAAAGGCTGTCTAGGCAAGCAATATGACCTGTAAAGAAAAAGGCCCATCAAGCATACTCAGCCGTAGTAGGTGCTTCAGGTTAGGTGGGTCCTGGTGTTAGTCACTCCACACCCAATGTTTTATTGCAAAAAAAACTGGCAATTCACTTTCAGGATTAGCAGCACTGAGAGATATACATGTACCATAACATTTGGTTGATCACTCTTAGGTGTTAAAAGTTCTGCCCACAAACAGTGGCAAGGACTGTAAATGTTTGGTGGACTTGTCATACATGTAAATGCGGAAATTTAATTTATTGGTAAAAAATGACGGTGATCTTTGTTGTGTTTGATTTGCATCCCTTGTTGAGTATTTTTGTTGCAATCGAATACAGAGATGGCCACAATGCCAAACAATGCCAAAGTTTTCCCAAAGGCTTATTGTTCAACCCTTATAGTATGCTGGCACAGATATGATCAAGTGGTGGTTTATATCTTGAAACAGCTGCGAAAGTTATTTCTCACAGTTGGTCAATTTGCTTGGTTAACTGACTGACAAAACCTAGAAGGTGAATGAACTGATTGATTGATTGATCAGTCAATCATTTAGTTAGTTGGTCAGACAGTCAGTCAGTCTTTGTCAGTCACTTGGCTGATAGGTCAATTGATCAGCCAAGCAATTTATCAATATAACAAATCAGTCAATAAATCAGTGAATCAATCAAATAATTTTTATTATTTACCTAAGAAATGCAAATGTACATGTTATAGATTCAATTATCCCTTTGATCGTATTTGTCAGGAACTGTATACAGATGCATTTGCTAGATTACTATTTCCTCAAGTCTCTCAGTCTCTCTATATAGAGCATATATGCTCTATATATGCTTAAAAGATTGTTTGCCTAAATGATGTTGTAATCCTCCCATTTATAAATACGATCTTGATGACATGTTTGTTTTCCTGCCACACGTACCCACGTGTAATGCGTGAACTTATGTTAATTCAAGGTGAGACTTTTTTTTTTCCGGTACAACGCGCCGACCTTTCAAAGACTTGTCTTATCTTTAAAGATTCTCTATCACTCTTGGAATAGTGACCTTGCAAGGTAACGCCTTAAACTGCTTTTAGTTTTCCAGTGCAACTTTAATGGAGGTGAGACTTCAGTAACTTCAATAATAAAAACTATTGGGCCGATAACGGTAAGAATTAACCAAGACACTTCAAGTATTCTTCCCGTGCAATAACGGGGTTTTTGAGGGATTACAAGAATTCGTGTGGAGGAAAGTAATCGAACGAAATGACATTTAGTGTTACTAAGTGTAAGCGAGCTGCACTAGTTAATCATCTGAACTGACATAAGTTCAAAATCATTCCAACCCCAACATCAAAACTAAAAGTTCACGACAAATTTCACTAACTTCTTACATGGAGCGAAGTAACTTTTGTATGGAGTGAACTGACTTCTGGTTGGGGGGAAATGACCATGGGGCGAAGTGACCGTAATTCCTAATTGCAATGAATGACAGCACGGAGAACACTTCAATATTCAGCTAAATAATAACTGATTGTCGTAGAAGTTATCCTATATAAATTAAGTTATTTTATTAGTGTCACAGTTAAGACTAAAGTACTCCTTTAGTGCTGGGTATATCGGTTCCTTCTCTCTTGATGGCAGCCCGTAATGCTAGCGCCAAAGCTTTGAACGCCGACTCCGCTCTGTGATGATCATTCCTTCCTTTTAGTACATCTACGTGTAATGTAATGGCTGCTGAAGTAGCAAAAGAGCTCAAAAAGTGGGACAGCATCTCGCATGAAAGATTACCAATGTTCTCCCTTTGCAAGTTCAAATTGATGTCGGCAAAAGGTCGTCCGGATATGTCCACGACGGCTCGAGAGAGCGATTCATCGAGAGGAGCGTAAGCATAGCCATACCTCGCTATACCCCTTAAATCCCCAAGAGCTGCTTTAAACGCTTGCCCGAGAACAATACCGCAGTCTTCCACTGAGTGGTGATCGTCTATATGTAGGTCACCTTTGCAGCTAAGAGTGAGATCGATTCGCCCGTGTTTTGACAAAGCGGTCAGCATATGATCCAGAAATCCAATTCCAGTATTTACAACGCTTTCTCCAGCTCCGTCTAAGTTCAGGATCAAAGAAATATCGGTTTCTTTCGTCTTTCTTTCAATATTTGCCGTTCTCGATTTTTTCGAAGATTCTTCCGCCATCTTGAAATTCTCAACAATGAAGAGATTGGATACTAGAGTTCAGTCTTATGCAACTTAGCACGAAATCGAGGTAAAGAAATTTGGTGTTAGTTCGTCAGTAGTCATGACAACGGGATGGGATGACAACCACTGCGCCAACTCGACGGCTGTAGTTCCTGAGGTGATTTGAGAGAGGCGGTATTCACATTCTATACAGCGTTTCTGAAGACTGATACTCAGTCAATATGATGGTACAACATGTACGAAGGTGTAGGGAATTCACTGGGCCTACTCCTCATTCCGTGGCTATTGTGAGTGTTGGAAATTTTTGCCATTCTATGAGCTTGATTTCAACTTTGCTTGTGTGTTGTCGGTCTGTTGTTTGATTTCTAACTCTGTAAAGCAGCTTTGTCCTCGAATTACACTTCTCTTGTTTTGTCATTGACGAAGTCGAAGATGTCAACGTGAAGCAAAAAGTTGCCTTGTAAACTAAGTAAGCCGTTATGGACAAGAAATAGCTTAATTCTCTATGTTATAATAGAAAGCCAAGCCTACGAGCAAAAGACCAGTGGAACATCTTATCCTTGAAACAAGAAGAAAAGATGAACTTAGAGAACAAGCCATTGCTGAAACCAAGTACCAAAAACAGTGTGATTTAAAGGTAAAGCGATTTAACGTAAGGTTATTAAACTTTACTATCACCAGAAATTTGTAGGATCCATGTAGATCTGCATAATCTGTTGTCTGACTTCTGTAAGTGTAATAGTTTCCAGAGAAAAGGTACTACTGTTATGTTGAAGTTTTCCGTTGTGGACATGTAAAACTTTCTTTTAAGCCTGTTATTTAATTTTTGTTCTTCCCTCTTGCAGTCGGAATGGGAGAAAGCAACTGATAAGAGAATAAAGAGCAATACAATTTCCAGAAGAGTTGAGAAGTTAATGCAGAGAGGAACTTTTAGTCTGGAGGACAGAAGAGAAAGGTTGGAATTTATATTAAACTTTAAAAAAAAATAAACCAAAGATATTTCAGTTCCAGATAATGTAAATTAACTGCTACATTGTACTACATTGTACTTCCCTTGCACAGTGGTATTACTGGGCCAATGTTTAGGAATGCAATTATCTGTCACTATCAAAAGGTTTGAGAAACACAGTGTAAGATGTGCTTTGGTTTAAAAGATATTGAAAGCAGTTGTGTTGTAACTATGATCTCTTTTGTTCTAATTCAGACTAAAGGAAATGCTATTGGCTGAAGAACAACAGTACATTGAGGAAATGGAGGCAAAAGAGGAAACAACTCTTGAAAGACAGGCCAAGATGAGAGAAAGAGCCAAGTTCTTAAAGGAGAAAAGAGAACAGGAACGGTTAAAACTTGTACAGGAAAAGCTTGATCAGAGGTGGAGGTATGTAGCAGCATCAGAATTATTGGTTCTCCTTATTTTCTTTTCATTTCTAGTTTGAAATCCGAATTTTCATAACAAGTTTAGCCATGGTTACTTAACAACTGGTGTCTATTTACATAATCTGTCCTTTCAAAACTCTACCATGATATTGTTCTTCAAAATAGGTTAAGATTTTAATATCATATACATTGTTTAGATATATATCAAGTTGACTTTGTGCATGCTGGTGATTTTCAGAGACAACTGTGAAGAGCTACGATCAACCCTCAGTCAGCGCCATCAAGATGAAGTTTTCACTGAGCGTCATGAACAGCTTCAAATGAAAGAGGAGCAGAAAACAAAGGATGCAGAAGTAGATAAATATTATGCTGATTTATGGGCAAAAGACATACAGATTAAAAGTATGAAAGAAGAACAGACTGCAAGGGAGCAGATTGAAAGGAACCGCGAGACTTTGAAGGTTTGTTACTGTTTCATAGTTGAATTCTCCTGAAGCGCTTAGTAATACTTGCCTGAAATTTATTTAACTTAGGTACACTAAATTGACGTGAACTAAAATGCTCATAACGTGTGGGACACTGCATGACCACCTACATGCTCATTCATTTCTTACAGAGTTTAATATCCTCACTTGGAGGTTAATTGCTATTCCAAATGTGGTTAGCATAGTAGTAGTGTGCTGCCCAATGTAGGTTAAGCCAGTGTCCTTTAGAACATTCTTTAACTTATTTCTTAGATGAACAGTTTTTATTTAAGGTAATTCCTCTGAAATAAAAGTGACAATAGATTTTTGTTCAAACTTTGTCCACTGAATATTTGTCATATGATAACTTCAATTTTGAAAT